TGTAGAATTAAATCCTACATGCAAAATGCGACATATTTTTGTATTTTTTATTAATTTAGCAAAATAAACACGCACAGACAAATACAAATAATTATTCAAAATATCACAAAATTGCACACCAAAGAAACATCATTTTATTTTTGAATTTTTTGGGAGTAATTCTCATATATGGAAAAAATCACGTGCTTACAATTACTGTTAAAACTAAGGGTTCAGATCTAACATTTGTTAACATTTTAATATGTTTTTACATATATATCTCTATACTCCATGTCGAAAGTTAGAGGTTCAGATGAACCCATGACTTTGCACTACGTCAGCCTATGTCGACACATAAAGGTAGAGAGGATGATTGTGATCAGTTACGAGTTACTAAAAGATTCGAGATTTGTCATTGAAAAACCCCGAAGATTCAAGCTCTATATATGTCCTCTGAGCATCAAAGACTACAGACTTTGCTACTCTTCTGTCCTCCTTGATGATGGCAATCTGGTACTTTTCCCTTTTTCTCTACCTCATTTTGTTCATCTTTTTTATTAGCTATAAAAGTTCACAAATAATTCAGAAGGTGCAGTTACCAATAACTTATATAATTAGGGGTTGGGCGGACAGAAAGATGTTAATTTTACTTGGATTTAAATCATATACGCTGACAGTAAAAAAAGAAAATACTATGGTGCATATTTAGTGTACAAATTAGCACTGAACTATTCGGGGCTCGAATTTGGCAAGGGAATTATTACTTGTTTCCAGGGAGCTGGAGAAAGATGCTGAAATTAGAGCTAGCATTCTGTACTTGGAAAAATGGGACTGCTAGTTCAAGAAATCGCGTGTTGAAGGGAAATATTTCGAAAAGAAGAGAGGACGGATGGATGGAAATAGAACTGGTTTTGGTACTGAAGAAGGAGAGTTCAAGAGAGTCGAGGCAAGATTCTTGAAGATTGAATGGCTTCATTGGAAGTGTGGCCTCATTGTTCAGGGTATTGTGTTTCGATTAAAATGTGGAGATCAAAGCTCTTCTTTTTATGCACCAGATGAAATTATATGGTCAAAAGGTGTTAACAACGGAAAAAGGATGAAATCCATGTAAGATTGTGTTAGGGTTTATTGTGATTGAGAGAGAGAAAAGGGAACCTCTTTCATCTGTCCAAAATGGAAAAGTATTCACAAGTCGGTATATCAGACCTCTTTGGTCTGCCTATATGGGACGCAACCCACTATACACAACTAAAGGAAAAGGAAGTAAAAATAATTACAACTTATGTGGTCCTGGCCCAATACAAAATGAAAACTAGTATAACTAATCTAACTAATCTGGACTAGGAGCAATATTCCCAACACCCCCCTTCAAGTTGGAGGGTGGCAAAACCCCCAACTTGGAGAGGAAACCATGATGAGCAACACCAGCCAAAGACTTGGTGAAGATATCAGCCAGTTGAGTAGAGGAAGATGTGTGAAGCAGTTGTATGAGACCTTTAGCAAGCTTTGTTCTGACCAAGTGACAGTCCAACTCAATGTGCTTAGTTCTTTCGTGGAAAACAGGGTTCTTGACAATGTGGATAGCAGCTTGACTATCACAGAACAGGGGAATAATAGAAGAACATGAAACACCCAAATTCAGGAGCAACCTTTGCCGCCAAGTAACTTCACTGACAGCCTTGCTCATGGCTCTATATTCAGCTTCAGTAGAGGACATGGACACCACAAGCTGTTTCTTAGACTTCCAACCCACAAGACTACCCCTCAAGAGCACACAAAAACCTGATACATATCTCCTAGTGTCTGGGCAAGCAGCCCAGTCACTATCACAAAAAGCAACAACAGAAAGATCAGGAACATTGTTGAGAAATATACCGAACTCAGCAGTACCCTTCAAGTACTTCAACAAATGCAAACTAGCTTCCAAATGAGGCACACAAGGGGACTGCATGAACTAAGAAAGATGCTACACAGCAAAACAAATATCAGGCCTAGTGTGGGTGAGAAAATTCAGCTTCCCAACCAAGGAACTGTACACTTCAGGTTTAGGAAGAGGAACCCCCTCCTTGGCCTTGAGCTTGAGTGAATGTGGGAGAGAACAAACCACAAGGGTGACATCAGAACAATGGAACTCAAGAAGGAGGTCATGAAGGAACTTCTTCTGATGCAGAACAACCCCAGATGCTGAATAGAAGACCTCCATGCCCAAAAAATAACTGAGGGAACCCAAATCCTTGATTCTGAACTGTTGATGAAGAAAGGATTTAAGGGCAAGGATCCCAGCACTATCAGTCCCAGTTAAAATAATACATCTATATAAACAGCTAAGACCACAATAGAATCCCCAGAAACCTTGGTAAATAGGGAGTAGTCATTAAGAGAATGTTGATAACCTCTAGAAGACAAAGCTTGGGAGAGTTTGGCATACCACTGTCTTGAGGCTTGCCTAAGACCATAAAGAGATTTCTGCAACTTGCACACCAGTTGCCCAGAAGGAGATGCAGAAGGAACAATGTAATTAGGAGGTAGCTTCATAAAGACTTCCTCATCAAGGTCACCATGCAAGAAGGCATTGTTAACATCCAACTGAAACATGGGCCACTATTTCTTAACAACAACAACAATCAGGGTTTTGATGGTGGACATTTTCACAACAGGTGAAAAGGTTTCATAAAAATCAATACCCTCAACCTGAGTATCCCCCCTAACAACCAGTCTAGCCTTATACCTTTCAATGCTCCCATCAGCCTTTTGTTTAAGCTTATACACCCACTTACAACCAATGGGTTTCTTTCCTGGAGGAAGCTCAACAATGGACCAAGTGCCATTAGCCTCCAAAGCTTCAAACTCCTTGGTCATAGCTTCCTGCCACTCAGGTATACCAACATCTTGAGAATAAGTGGCAGGTTCAGCCAAAGGTTGAGAGGAATAGGACGCTGAGAGGGAGAAAGAAAGAGAAGATGAGGGAAGAGAACAAACATAATCCTTCAGATAAGAGGGGGGATTATGAGTCCTGGAGGACTTCCTGACAGGAGAAACAACAGGAGAAAAGGAGGCCTGAGAGTCAGAAGAAGGTAGAGGAGAGGAGGTAGAATGGACAGAGGAAGAGAAAGGAGATGAAGAAGAAGGAGAGGGAGCAGGACAAGGAACAAGAGGGAAATCAGAAGGAAAAAAGGGAGTAGAAGTAACATAGAAGGAATGGATGAAGAACTAGAGGAAAAGGGAATATATGTTCATGAAACTGAACATCTCTTGAAACAAAGCAAGACTTGTAGACAAGATTATAAAATTTGTAACCCTTTTTAGCAAATGGATACCCCAGAAAGATATAGGGAACACACCTAGGATCAAACTCTAGGAACAGTAGCATAGCACAAACAGCCAAAAGCCCTAAGATGGTCATAAGAAGGAGGTGAACCATAAAGCAATTCAAATGGACTTTTGTGTTGTAACAAGGGAGAAGGGAATCTGTTAATGATATAGGTGGCAGTTAGGATGCAATCACCCCAGAATAAAATAGGAAGTTTGGATTGGAATAGCAAAGCCCTAGCAGTTTCAAGTAAATGCCTATGCTTTCTCTCCACAATACCATTTTGTTGTGGAGTATGAGGGCAAGTGGTCTGATGGATGATACCCTTGACAGAAAAGAACTTAGAGCCAATAGTACTAGATCCCAGTTTAAAAGCATTGTCATTTCTAACTTTCTGAACCTAAGTACAGAATTGAGTTTCAACCATAGCAATTAAAGCTTTGAGAAGATCAAAAGCATTGCTCTTAGAACTCATCAAATGGGTCCAAGTAGCTCTAGAATAATCATCTACAATAGTAAGTAAATATTTGGCACTATGGGAAGTAAGAGAGTGATAAGGACCCCAGGTGTCAATGTGAATCAGATGAAAAAGAGCAGTAGAGTGAATGGTGCTATCACAGAAAGGAAGTCTAGTTTGACTAGCCAAAGGACAAATAGGACAAGGAAATGATTGTTTAGGGGATAGACAAGGATTAATAACAGGAATGCCATTCATTCTAGAAAATGGAATGTGACCAAGTCTGAAATGCCAAACAATATCCATTTTATTAAAAACAGCATGTGCAGAATTACAAGAGGAAACAATAGAACTACCAGAAATAGTACATGCAGAAGAAAGAACAGAATTGGAAACACGGTTATTAGGCCTAAACATGGGTACTTGCAGCCTGTAGAGCCCATTATCCAGTTTACCAAGAGCCAGAGGCTTCTTTAGAGAAGGGCCCTGTAATACACATAAAACCTTAGTAAATTGTGCAATGCCATCAAACTGATCAACTAAATTATGAACTGAAATTAGATTGTAGTGAAAACTAGGAACATAAAGGACATTGTGAAGAGTGAATTTAGGAAATAAAGTTAAGGAGGCAGAATTGGTAACTTTAACTTTGTAACCATTTGGGAGAGAAACAAGGCAATGAATAGTAAGAGGTTGAATATTGAAAATGAGAGATTTCAGAGATGTCATATGGTCAGATGCCCCAGAATCAATGATCCAATCAGAAATACTAACTTGTGAAAATAAAACAGGCTTAAGAAGAACACTATGGGTAGCTATCCTACCAGCAAAATGTGCAGAAGCCATGAGTGATTGAGAAGAGTCAGGAGTGACATGAGTTTGTTGCAAGAGCTGGATCAGCTGAGAATATTGATCCTTTGTCAAGCCAGGAAAGGCAGAAGAAGAATCAGAAAAACCAGCTGGGACAACACCACCATTGGAATGAGACACACATGCCTGAGATGCAGAAGAATCAACTGCACTGTGTGCTGAAGCTTTCCTGGGACCAGCAGTCTTAGAGAATTTGAAATTTTGCAGATAGCCATAGAGTTTGTAGTACTTATCAATGTTATGCCCAGGTTTCTTATAGTATTTGCAAGTGATTGCAGTCCTTTGATTCTCAAAATTCACCCTAGGAGTGTAAGGCTGTTTAGAAGACCTATCATTGAAAGAAGCTGATTCTGAAGAGAAATGAGAACCAATAGACATCTGCCTCTATTTCTCATCACTTAGAAGAATACTGTAGACCGTGTCAATGGAAGGCAGGGGCTTGATCATTAAGATGTTACTTCTGACTTGAACATAAGTATCATTGAGCCCCATGAGAAACTGATAGACCTTTTGTTTTTCTTCAGACCTAAGACTGCCTCCACAGGTGCACTTATCATCAGAACTGGCAGAGAGAGAGGCTAACTCATCCCAAAGTTGTTTGAGTTTGTTGAAGTAGGAAGGAATATCAAGGTCACCTTGAGTAATATGAGCCACCTCTTTTTTTAACTCAAAGACCCTGGCTTCATCAGCTTGGCCATATCTGGTCTCAAGTTCCTTCCAAATACCCTTTGTAAACTCAGAATACACAAAAGTACGATGAATTTCCTTGGTCACAGAGTTGGCCAACCACGCAACAACCAAATTATTGCATCTCACCATTGGCGAAGAAGAGGAGACCCTTCTGGAGGTCTCTCAGAGGTCCCATGAATAAATTCCAGCTTGTTCATAATGGATAAAGCCACTAAAATGGATCTTCGCCCACTTCCATTAAAAGGCTCAGTGACCAAAGAAGACCCTAGGAGGTCAGAAGGATGGACATATAGAGGGTGGCATGGGTGCGTATAATCATCAGGATGAAAAGGAAGACGACTAGTAGGGGCATGTTCAGAATTATCCACAGAAGTAGAGGAAGAAGTACCCGACGAGATAGCCATCAGACAGAATCTCTTAGCAATGAGCAGACTAAAATATAGATTTCTAGACAATTTCGATAAACCCTAAGGCATGCAGACTGAGATGAAAAATATTAAGCAAAGGAAAGAATATACCACAATTCTTCGCAACCGGAGGAATACAGCCTTGAAATGAGAAGAATTTTACCCAGCTATGTTCCGAAAATCCAGAAAAAAAACACGACTTCGACATTAGGCACTGTTGAATGCTGAGATATGTCGTTGCAACCGAAAATTAGGACCTCAAATACCATCCGGAGAGAAATAAACCAAATTGAACAACAAAGCTCGAAGAATCTCATAAAAAACAAGAAAACTGACGAGATGAAGAAAAATCTCCGATTAAGCGAAAATTCCTGTGATACTCTTCTAGGGTAACATCGGACAATAGAGGACGGCCGGATCTACGAGATTCCGGGCTCTGATACCATATTAACAGCGTAAATAGGATGAAATCGATGTAAGATTGTGCTAGGGTTTACTATGATTAAGAGAGAGAAAAGGGAACCTCTTTCATCTGTCCAAAATGGAAAAGATATTCACAAATCAGTGTATCAGACCTCTTTGGTCTGCCTATATGGGACCCGGCCCACTATACACAACTAAAGGAAAATGAAGTAAAAATAATTACAACTTATGTGGGCCTGGCCCAATACAAAATAAAAACTAGTATAACTAATCTAACTAATCTGGACTAGGAGCAATATTCCCAACAAAAGGAGGTTTAACTCAATTACTTTCGTTGAAAACTTATACTGTTCAAATAGTATTAAGACGAGTAATTTTTTTATATATACAAATTGTTGAATCATTTGACATAAGGGAAGCTTCCACTGCAATGGTAAAGGTAGTTCAAACATTGTCATAAGTCGTCTGATTTGAATTTCAGGTGTGACATTCTTGTATTTTTCTGAATCAGCTCGTCAGAATTTCTGGTTTTTTCTGTAGGTTATATGTAAAGTTAGTTAGTGTACCTAAACATGATTGGAGTAGCTTGGAGGTTGTCCTCCCTGTGTTCTTAAAGGCATAACTTTAGACATTTAAAGAGTGCCTTATAAATTGCCAAGTTTCAAATACTAGTAGATGTTGTTCATAATTAGATTGTGAATTTTGTCATTAAGGGTGTGTTTGGTATAACGAAAAATGTTTTCCGTGGAAAATGTTTTTTTGAAAAATAAGTAGTAATTTTATTCATTTTCCGGTATTTGGTATACAAATTAAGGAAAATAACTTCTCAAGAGTATTCATAAATAATTTAGATACAATAAACATGAAGTCATACACTTTCGAACCAACAACCTTCCGAACCCACAAATTTCACAAACTTCTGAACCGCTAAACTTTCGAAACCGCGAACTTTCGAACCCGTAAACTTTATAATTTCTAAACCCGTAAACTTCCAAACACTTAGACCTCCGAACGCGCGAAAATATTTTCCTTCGTACCAAACACACCCTAAGTTCCTATCACAAAAAAAAAAAAAAGGTTGTCATTAAGAATGATATTCTGGTGAGCTTGCTCACAACGCCGATCCCAGGCCCGAATAAAGGAGGAGAAGGGGTATTATTACGTTTAACCCGCGCCAGAAACTATTTACATTTGGTAACCGAAAAAATGCGTAAAATTTGTATATAACGTACAATATATATATACAAATTTTATGTATTTTTCGGTTATTATTTTACAGCAGCTATACAGTGTCATTTTCTGTTAGATTGGCAACCAACGTAAAACATCCCAATTCATAATGAATATCCAACCCAAACTTGTTTGGGGTTGGTTGTTGTCGTCGTCATTAAGAATGATATTATGTAGGTTACTTATCAGAGTGTTATCTTAGAGTTAACGATCCCCATTTCCCACTACCCAGAAAGATTCTTACTCAAGAGTTGTAGTTCCTTAATTAGCCTTTTTATCCCAAAAAAAAGTTCCTTAAAATAGTCCAGGACTAAAAGGAAAAAAAAAAGGAATATTTTCAAATTTCTTTAATATATAACAGAAATATCCACCATTAATAGAAAGGTTCGGAGGTCAAATATTAAGGTTGTAGGTTAGGGGATAGTCGAGCGTTTTTCGTTGTACCGGCTAGTCTGATCGTATTTTGTCCAGGTCTATTAGCTATTTTTTATTTTTATTGTCATTATTAATGCCCTTCCATTTATTTGTTGTCTCTTACGATGCCGATATTATTCTTCTGGTTTCTGTTGTTACAGATCTATTGTCTTTGAGCTGAGGATCTCCTGAAAACAACATCTACCCCTCCGGAGTAGGAGTAAGGTCTGCGTATACTCTGCCCTCCCCAGACCCCACTAGTGGAATTCTACTGGGTTGTTTTTGTTGTTGTATATGACAGAAAGATCCTTGTTCCAAAAGTGAATCAAATAATTAAAATTTCAGAAATGAAAATTGTACTTCTAGCTAGTGCTGTTTGAGGGAAAGGAAGTCGCGACGTGCCATTATTAATTGATTAAAAACTTTAGCAACTATGGTCATATTACCAACAATTGACAACAGTTAGTTTGTTTACTATCAGAGCACTAAACAAGAAAACACTTTAAAAGCAAGGTATTACATTCCTTTTTCCTAATAAATGAACCAAAGAATCAGCCTACCTAATTGATCCTTCAGAAATGGATGCAACTTTGCAAATACCAGATGATGTAGTGAATGGCAAATCCTTATAGCAGGCAACCAACTCCTTATTTGTATGCAGATCCAACTGAACAGTTTCCCAAATCTTTTTCTTATTGTTCAATACATCATCAGGCTCGCCATCAAATCCGGGGAATGTGATTCGTTCCCCAATTGCAGCATCTTTAGGCGGCTCAACTAATTCAACCTGACGTTGCATCAAAATCAGTATAAATGATCAATTTTTCCATCCTAATAAAACCCGATGAAACATATAATATGGGCGAGTGGACAAGTACACAGTAGATGTCAGTCGTATAAAACCTGTTCCTCAATACTATTGAGGAATACTATCACAAATATATTTGCTACTTATATACCAGTTGTGGAACACTTTTCGATGTTTCTACCTAGTGAAATAAAACAAAGAAAGAAAGTAGACGTCCTTAGCTTCTTTTTCCTTTCTCCCTTCCAACATTCGGAAGAATTCCTTTCCAAGTTTTGCTCTTGCTTGCTTAACTCGACTTTTCCATTTGAACAATCTTGTGTGTTAGCCAGTAGAGATGCTCCATTTTAAAGAATGCATGCCTCCATAAATTAATTTCTTTTATGGAGTAATTCATTGATCTCCATAAACTTAGTAACTTGTCATATTTCTATTTCAGTATTAAGCAAGTAAAATGTATTTAAACAGAAGCACAAACATATTAAAGGTACATAGCAATTGTCCCCAGATAACATGGACAGGGAGATAAGCACAGATCACTGTTTACCTTAGTGTGATCGCTATTAGAAGCAGCAAGAACCATTGCCTGGGACTTTATCCCCCTCATGCTAACTGGTTTTAGGTTGCATAGAATGCAGACCTTCCGATTCTGAAAAGGAAACGTCACTGAGAATAAATTCACCAGCTCATTTTATATTTGATACTTGCAAAAGGTGGAGAAGCCAAACCTGCATCTCCTCAAGTGGAATATAGTTTACAAGGCCACTAACAACAGTTCTGGGCAGAGCTTCACCAACATCAATCTCTTCCACATACAATGAATCAGCATTAGGATGTTTTTGTGCCTTCGTTATGAGACCAACGCGAATGTCAAGTCTACTAATGGAAATTTCTCCTTCGTCAGTGGCTGGGGCCTTAGATTTGGTTTCAGAAGATTTTTTTGCACGTTCCTTCTTATTACCATCTGATACACAAAATAGAAAAATCAAAGTAAGCCATAATCAATATGATTCTCATGCAAGAATAGAACTAAACAGCAGCCATCAACCATGGTGGACTTGAGGTAGAACTTGGATGGGAATCTGACAGGATCCCAAGGCAGATGCATAAGCATAGATGATTTACTTGTCTCTTTAGAGAGCAAAAGGTATCTGTATGTATTCTTGAAAGCTTAAGTCTTTGGAACCAACCAGAAATCTTCAGAGACAATGAGGAGTTAGAGGTCTGGTATTAAGAAAACAAGAGGATCAAAAGAGAGGTGGTCAATAGGCACAGTCGAGAAGTGCCTCGAGGAGGATCAAAGCAAGTGCTAACAAATTTATGCCTAAAGAAACTACAAGGCTCCTTAAACTCTTCATACCCCTGTCATAGAAATAAATAAACTCATCACAGCAAGTAAAAACAAATGGAAAACGAAAAAATTTCAACCTGATATTTTTGTTTTGTTCAGTTGTTCAGCCATTTTTTTGGTATCAGTTTCTGCCTTCAGAGCCCTATCTGCCCTATCTGACTGACTTCCTGCAAACTTCTCTCTGTAGAATTCAACTTCTTCATCTTTCTGTATATTATCATCAACAACAATTATAAACCAGCCAACAAATGAAAGAATGAATAAACATGCAGTAAAAAAAGACCGAAATGCATTACCAGCTCCTTGAACAATGGTGCTGGTGTTCCAATTTTGTGACCTGCAGGTATAATGTTCCATGGTCTTTTGCTATTGGCAACGTCACCTTTTTCATCAGCCAGTGAAAGTTGCATTTCAGGAGGCAAGTTGAGCTGCTTAAGCACCTGTGAATCAAGAGGGAAAAGCATCAAACACCTAAGCACAGACAGATGGTATCAACACA